TGTTTTTTGTTTGGGGAAGAGGGTGGTAGAGGAAAGGAAAGACCCGAACACCTGTCGAGTAAACCATGCATTCCATGGCCAACGCGGTAAAGACTAACCAATTACACTATTTACAACAACATTCCAGAAGCAAAACAACGACGGCGAGAGGAGGAGAGCGGAGGAAAAGGAGGAGAAGGAAGGAGAGAAACGAACTGGCCAGGCCTCAGATCATGGTCGTGGGCTGCCTCTGCCTCTGGGGAAGGCTTCAGCTGCCAGAACATAGGGCACACGTTGCCTGATGCATACAGCCACATTCCACTTCTATCCGACCTCCCGATTCGATGCTGACTGATCTTTCTCGCATAGAACACCCGTCTGCGGCGAGCCCAAGGGGGAAGTGAGAGGGGGACGCCTCCTCAGAAGGCGGCGGCACTTCACAGAGGCCCTCTGGCCTCGTGAGAAGTCCCCTGCGGCTCCAGAGCAAGCTCGGAAGGCTCCTCAGAAGGCCGCAGGCCGTCTGAGCTTTTATGGGGAGGCCCCCTCAAGAGGCGCTCGGGGCTGGCGGCCCTCCGATGTGCCAGGACGGCCCGCCCGCCGCGCCAGGGAGCCGAGGAGGAGGAGGGGAGGAGGGGAGGAGGAGGGGAGGAGGGGGAGGAGCCAGGAAGAGGAGGAGACAGGCGTGCCGGCCGTGTCAAGCAAAATTGTCTGACAGACCCGTCTGCCGTGCCCAAGAACTCGTCAAGCAGACGCGCCTGGCCCAAAAGCGAAGGAGGAGGAGGAGGAGAAATGAGAGGAGGGAGGGAAGGAGAAATGGAGGGAGTCGCCTAAGCGACCACGCGCTCCTCCTCCTCCTCCAACTCCTCGTCTTCGTCCTCCTCCTCCTCATCCTCCTCCTCCACCTCCTCCTCCTTCTCCTCCTACTCAAGACTGGTTATTCTTATATCCTCTTGTGCTGATTTTGTGACGTCCGCCACCGCATTGGCGTGCGTTGGCCTCCCAAGCTGCACCGAGGGCCGAATCCGTGGGGGTCTCAAAGTTACGCACTCCCTGCGGGCACCTCCCGATCCCAAGAACAAGCCCTGTCCAGTCCTCCTTCTGGCGCCGCCGGGGGGGGGCAAGCCCGGGGGTCCTGCCCGTCCGCCTGGTCGACGCCTGCGCGGCGCGCGCGGGTCGATGACGCTCGACGACTGCGATGACAACAACAGCAGCAGCAGCAACAACAACAATCATTCTAAGACTGTACGCTCTTACTGGCACGCGTGTTTTTCATTCTGTATACCCAAACCCTCGATACCCGCCCACTTGTCTTCGATCGCACTCCAGTTCGGGGGGAATATCTTCCTTGTCGGCCACTGGCTGAAGTGCGAGGAACTCTCAAGCGAGAGCGCCGTTCCTGAGTTCAGGGGCCTTCCTCGCCAGGGACTCTCGGAGTACATCGTGAGGAAGTATCGAGGCCATTACTGGGTTCGGGAGCCTCTCTGGCCAGGGTGTCTCGGGGTAAAATATGAGGAAGCATCGAGCGGGAGCTTGTCGTCGTAGCTGGGCCTCCAAGGGCCCACTTTCACACGCAAGCCAACGCTTGAGCGGGAGCCTCGTTTTCAGAGAAAATGAAGCCCCCCTCGAAGCGAGAGCGCCCGGAACCGTTTCCGGAGATCAACAGTAAATGATTCTCTAGCAAGGAGGATTTAACAGCGGCCTCTCGGGGGCTCGGGGTTCCCGCGGGCCGCCTGCAGGCCCGTTCCAGCGTGCTGCGTGCTCCTGACCTGGACGAAGGGGCGCTGCCCTCGGTCCAGGACCTCGGCAGGCTTTGGGCCCAGAAAGCGGCCGAATCTCATGCCGAGGATGATTCCCAGGCTTCCGACAACGAGGGGGCGTGAACTCGTTGACTGGCTTTAGCCCACCGCCAGACCATACCTCCTCCTCCTCCTCCTCCTCCTCCTTCCTCCTCCTCCCTTCCTCTTCCTCCTCCAAATCCTCCTCACCCTCCTCCTCCTACTCCTCTTCCACCTCCTCCTCCTCCTCCTCCTCCTCCTCCTCCTCCTCCTCCTCGTCTTCCTCTTCCCTTCCCCCCCTCCTCCTCCATCCTCTGGCTCCTCCTCCTCCTCCCCCTCCTCCTCCATCCTCTGCATCCTCTTCCTCCATTCCTGTTCGTTATAAATAATTTCTTCCTGTCCAAACCCAAGGCCAGTCTTTAGGGCGGGCTGGTCGTTTCGCCTGAGACTCCTTCACTAGTGATGACCCTGAAGCTTAAAAATAGGCAACAGTTGCACAGATGGAGGGCGGGCCGTTTTCAAAATGTGGCTCTCGCCGTAGCGCATCGTACAGTGGTTTTAAAGATTTGCACGAGTTTCATGGATTGAGGGCGGGTCGTTTTCAAAATGTTGCTCTCGCCTTAGCGCCGCGCACATTCGTTTAAACATGTGCAAGAGATTCACGGATTGGGGGCGGTTCTTTTTCAACATGTAGCTCTCGCCTCAGCGCCGCGCACATTCGTCCTGAACATTTGCAAGAGTTTCACGTACTCCCATGATCAACATTCTTGAAATGGCGTTTTGGAAGGATTGCGGATTTTGAGGGTGCAACAGTTACGTTCATTCGCGGTGTTGAAGTCCCAAGAGTGGCGTTCTGGCACGACTCAAGGTCGTCAAGACGCAACAGTCAAGTGAATCCGCGGCATTTAAATTTCGAGAACAATGTTTTGGCATGCGTCAGGGTCTTCAAGCGGTTGCCTTCCAACGAGGCAGTTCCCTCAGTGGAAATGAACCACTGTAGAGGCCTATGAAGAGGGAGCTTGGCGGGAGGGTTTATTCCAACATCGTTGATGATTCTTGGGTTTACACTGGTCCTGCTCCTCTTCCGCCTCCTCATCCTCCTCCTCCTTCGCGCGCGCGGCAGGAGGGGGGAGGATAAGGATAAGGATAAGGACAAGGATCCCCGGGAAGCGGCAGTCGCGGCGGCTGGCAGGAGGTACGGCATGGCATTGCATTGGAACAAATTTCAGGCATTGGCCGTGCAATCGCCTGGTGTTGTTCGTGTGCCAGAGGGGGATCTACTACCACACGCAAAGTGCATGCATTATCGTGGAGCTCACATTACGCCAGACGCTGACTTGGGACACGAGCTGAACAGAACCATCGGAGAAGCGAAGAGGCTGTTTTACGTGCTGAAAAAGCTGTGGTCGCATCCGTCTCTGACTTGGACAAGAAAGCTTCATAGTTTCAGCGCCGTGGTGGAATCAAAGCTGCTTTACGGCCTCTCAGGGGCATGCTTCACGAAGGCTCAAATCCAGCGTTTGGATGGTTTCCCAAACAGGTGCATACGACAAATAATTGGCATGAAACATTCATTCCTCGAATATCGAATGCAGATGTGATCGCTCGCGCAGGACATGCGCCGGCCAGCACGCAGCTGTTGTTCAAACAGATGATGCTGTTCGGCCAGGTACTCCGGAGCAGCTCTGGACATCCTCTGCGGGCAAATTCTTTTGCCAGCGGTGCGTGCGCACCCCTCACTGGGGCAAGAACGCGCCGCATCGGCGCCCCTCACAAGGAGCTCGTGCCCGAAATGATGAAACATGCTGTGAGCTTCTTCGGCGTCTTAGTTGTTACCATCCTCTCCCTTCTCCTCCGCCTCCTCCGCCTCCTCCGCCTCCTTCCTGTCCGCCTCCCTCTGTGGACGATAAGAGCTGATGGCGCGGCGTCTGGCCGTCTGCGATACACATGCCAGTCTTGCCGTTTTCATCCACGCACCGCCCAGGTGTCTGATGTGCCGTCCGTCCGTGTCGGGTGGGGCTCGTGGCTCTCTCGTCCTCGGAGGTAGGAGTGCCCAGAACCGAATCGACAAGCTGGATCGGCCATCGAAATGAATCCGATGGGCGGAAGTCGGCAGCTCGGACCGGGGGAATCGGCGGGCTAATGAGGCCAACATTGAGAAACCAAATGCCAACATGGATACACCGACAACCAAATCCATATCGAAATCCGACATCGGATCGACTCGAACCAAAATCGATCGAAATCGAATCGAATCGAGTCGGAAGAGTCGAGATGAGCCCTGTTAAACGAGGAAAGCCGCCAAAAGTGTATGTTTATGGCCGGTGGGGATGAGGGAGAACCCAGGAAAACTCAGTCACGCCGCTGTCGTGCAGGCAGTTCCACGGGCAAGCCCATCGCAGTCTGGCCGCTGCAGACTGGCGCGGCCACGCACACCCAGTTTGGGGTCCTGAGGAGGAGGACGAGGAGGAGGAGGAAGCGGGCCCAGGGAAGGAGAAGGAGGAGGGTGGAGGAGAAGAACGAGGAGCACAGGAGAGGCAGGGAGCCAACCTCGACCCCGACCCCATCTCCAAAGGCGGCTTCTCGTCCTGATGGCCCGGGCTGGGCCCGCCGAGGCCCGCGACGACGAAAGATCCCCGTCCTGATCTCGTCACGACGCCGGATGCCTGGGCAGGTGCCCGGGCAGGGCGGGCCGAGGGAGAGGCGCCGCATTTCTGTGGCGGCCCGCGAAGGGCCAGCCACTCCGCGCGGCAGGCTGCGAGCGCGCGGCGGCGGCGAGCCAGGACCGCGACTGGCGGGGCAGAGAAGGCACTCACGTACGGCAAGCTCGTGTCGTTGCGACGTGACGACCCTGGCGCTGGTTTCTGACACCGCGTGGATCGCTCAACCTGGAAGGATTGTCGGCGGCTCGATCGCCAAGTCGTTCCATGTTGGCCGATTCTGGACCTCTGCTGGCGTTCAACCTCGAACGCCCACGGCGGGGTCGCCCTCGCGTCGACACGACGCGAATCAGCCGCAATTTCTTCTCCCTGGCGCGCGGAGCGCACCGGGGGCGGCGCCCGAGGCGCCGCCAGGGGGGTCCGGCGCCGATCCGAGATCCGCGCGGACCTCCCAGAAATGAATTATACGCCCGGGCCGCGCTTTGCTCCTCGCAGCCACGGGCGACCTATGCGACACCCGCGGGCCGCGCCGCCGCCGGCGGGGCACGGCGCGGCGGCCGGCCGCCGCGCGGCGGGCCCGGCATGG